TATGTTTCCCAACAGAGAAATATAAGAAACTTTGTCACGTTTTTCTTCAGAATCTGTACAACTTTGAGTAGTAACAAAAGTAGTTACTAATGGGTAAATCAGTTCCATAAAATATTGAAAATCGTTTGTTCTTCAAGTATTTGAAACTTTGTATTACAAGTACTACAAAATAATAATATATACAGAGATCCATACGTGTACGTTACATAGTACGTCGGAATACATAATATATAAAATTGCATACGATAGTACACAATTAGTATCGTACATAATTAAACCTAACATACATATTTAGACCTATATACCTTACTTCTCAAGAAAACTGTTTCTTTAAACGTGGCCAAGAAAGTTTTAAAATCTTTCAGTCTACAAACGACCACGGAATATTATTACAAAACGAGAAAAGACGAGGTCACGATGTGAAATTGAACATTGGTACGTGAGTGTAGGATTGATGCAGTCGGGCACATAGTTGCAAACTGTAGCTTGTCAATTGTGGATAAAAGAATTCGCAAAACTATTGAACTATTTGCCTCTTCTGTTCTGGCAAATCAATATCCATAATCTGACGAGTGGGTCAGACGAGTTGAGTCAGAAAAAATGGGTGAACGGGCAAGGGTTGTAATCGAGGTCGAGGGTGAAACGAAGACACGTGGTATTCGCGTTATTCCTCGTACATCTTGAGGCAGTGTCGGACGTTGTGGATCGCCCGATGATCAGAACTCGCGATTTAGGTACGTGTATCCGGCGTTCGGAGGATATAGTGGCAGAGGTCGAGGCTGAAAGAGGCGAGGAGAGCCAAAGGGGAGTGTGTAGGAGCGCGGGGCGTAGAGGGGGACAAAGTGGAGAAATTTTCGCGTGTTCCTCGAGGTTAACGGAGACACCGGGAAAATTTATACGTGGGCAATAGTAATACCGTGGGTGTGAGGCAGGTGCCGGCGGTGGTCCAGATCGATAGAACATTAAAACAGAGGGGAAAACGAGTGGGTCCGTACCTCCGGGGCATTCGCCCCGGCGAATAACCTCACCATAAACGGCGGCAAGGCTTCTTTTACTTACAGTCGTACATTTCACTCGGCCGTGATTTACGCGCTGGATTTTGGCGGGTCACGGTAAAAGTCCTTCCACCAGCGGCCGTCTCATTTCGAAAAATGATGCTTTAAAAGCGTCACGGGGCGCCGACGCTCGCTCCCCCCAGTCCTTATTCGATCAACGAAATTTCTCGAGCGAATTACACAGATGGGGAATAGGGGAAATTTGCATGGGTTCGTATTGGTTAATAGGTTGGGTTCACGCAGTTTTATTTATGGAACAAATTGTACAATCGGTGCTGTGTTTATTTGCTGCTTCAAAGATCAAGCACTCCACAATTTCTTATTTAGCCAACGAGATTTCTAGAGCGAATTACACAGATGGGACGAATAGAAGAAATTTTTGTGGAATCGTATTAGTTAATAATAGGTTAGCTTCACGCAATTTTATTTATAGAATAAACTTTATAACGGAAGCTATGTTTGTTTGGTTTTTTTCTCAAAAATTAAACACTTTCCTATTTCTTACGAATGGAATTTTTAAAGTGAATTACAGAGACCGGAATAGGTGAAGTTTGTAAGTTGTGTTAGTTAATAGTCTAGAAATTCGAGTATAGTATCTTTTAAGTGCTTAAAATTACCAAAAGTCGAAAAATTTAACTGAACTAATTATTTTATTATTCACACTAATTATTTCCACGCTCAAAGGATTAATCGATGAAATTTCTTGCACGATTAAACATATTTTATTGATCAACGAAAACGTAATTTAAAGTTATCAACAGGTACTTGTTCACAAAATTCGATAATCAAATTTTTACAAAAAGTTCCTAATTTATAGAATGCAGAACAAATTGTATTTACAAAATACAGAAATTGCTCTCTAGAGTGTCTAAGTTATAAAAATACATGGATAAATGAATATTTTTATGATTAGTGAGAAAAAGATTTTCTGCAATATTTTCACACAGTGATAACTGGAAAAATTGTGTTTTTTCAGTTGTTAGTACGATTGCAATTGCATCGCGATGTACATTCCAGAGATTTTCTGTTGACGAACACTTCGATATATGGCAAAAAATGATTGGCAAGTGCTCGTGGGATTTTTCGAATTAGTTACAGGGAACGGTTCTGTTCTCGTAAACAATATTTTACAGATTTCCCTTACGTTTCAGAGATAACACACGGGATCGATGGAATTTTTTCGATGGTATTCACCGTGATAAATTCGAATGCTTTCTCTGATCTAAAAAAAAAAGAGAAAACAGAAAAAAAACGCGTTTATAAAATATAAATATCTTTGATTTTAGTAATTTTTAAACTTCCCTTTTCATCGTTTAATCTCTTACTGAATTTTTATTAGAGTATTGTACAGATAACACAATCTTATAGTAAAGAATAATATAACTGGTTTCGAAAGATATTCTTAATTTGTTATCTGTTCCTCGTTCGGTGTTAAATTTTTAGACTTTTGGTAACTTTAAACACTCGAATGACTAAGAAGCTAGATCGCTCTGGAAAATCAGGTAACAGATTCAAAAATGAATTCTCTCGTGGTTGATAACTAAATGAAAACCTCCAATTTCCAGATATGTGAAACTTTCAACTTCATGCTTGAACTTTTTTTCAAAATGAAAATGGCACAAAAAGACAGAATTATTCGCTAGTTTTAAAATTTCAGTTTGATCGCGCTTGGAAAGACTCGAGTATCTCCATTTCGGTTAAAATGGAATTTTGAAGTTACTGAATAACTCTGTCATTTCATAACATTCTTGCTTTAAAAATATCAATATGAAGTAGAACTGAAAGCGATGTTTACATATCTCGAAAGAATCTTTTCTCCCGTTGTTAGTAATTGCTTCTGACAAAAATTTCACCTATTTCTGGATGTGTCATGGCCACGCTCTTTTAACCCTCATTCGTCCATTGAATCAATTCGACACATTTAAAAAGAAAAAAGTTACATTATTTTGCAGCATGTAAGAACAGATACAAAAAGTCAGTTTCTGTAACATTTGTTTCTCTAACAACGCAGCGTACATTTTCGACATTTTTGATAAGAAAACATGCTGAAGTATTGGTTCATCAAAGTATTCGACAGGTAGTAGAAATTGGCAATTTTGAACAATGAAAACCAAAACAATTGATCGTGACAGAATTAAAGAAACTAACATCACAATATGACACTGAATAAAATTACTCAAACAAAATTAAATATCAAATAAGATCATAACATGAAGTCGAATACACAGGTGTCAGCAATTAAATAGAAATTCACATGCAATTCAATAAAAAAATATAACAAAGTCAGTTCACCCGTTGCGAACAAGAGAGTTTTCAAACTCGACTGCTTATCTTTCCTTCGTATTAATCAGTTTTTCTTTTATCGTTACCACCAAGGGGTAAATTCAGCTGAAGGGATAAATTGAGAAACGAGGAACGAACGATGGTTAACGAAAGCAAATCGCAGTTTGTTCATGCTCGTTGGATCGATCGCAATGCTCCCTTTGTTGCTCGATCGTTCGTTCCCGAATAATTATGTATGTCGCTTTAGGTTGTGGGGCGCGTGTGAACTCCACGACTGAAATATGCCCTCCCCGTGGAACTTTTCACCCCGCGGCGAACTTTCGCGTTCACCGGGCGCGAGTAAACATTTTGATTAAGTAGAAGCAATCCACTGGAGGCAGAGAATCGTTCTCGTCTTACGGCTGAATTGTGAATTGTGAATTATTACCCTGTGCATTCCGTGGCTTCAGCTGCATTTCGTCGCGCATGGCGGAGTAGACACTTACTGATTACACGCATTAAATACACTTTGCGAATTATGGATACGGTATATATATGTGCGAAGCAATTATATCGAGCAAGAGATATTATTAGAATTTTCTGTTTGTTAAATTTGCAAGTGCAAAGATTTGTAGTGTACAGTATATGTGCGTGAAGTGATTATATATCGGATAAGAGATGTTATTAGAATCAAATTAAGTTTATTGAATTCGTAGTGTAAAGGCAAAGGTAATCAGTTAATTGTTTCGACGTTGTTTATGTTAATTAAGAGACAAGCATTTCGGAACATTGAACGAACTAATTACAAACGTGTTCAAATTTGTTCAGACGTTTGCCAATTTGAGACGAGTTGACACAGCTCGAAAAAAGCAATCAAAGGAGAATGGAAAAAAAAATTGAATGTCTGTGTACGTACGTACGTTCAATTATGAATAGAGATTTTTGAAAATGCTCCTTATAGAATAAAGTTTATATTTTCAAATGTTTTTATATTGGAAGTAATTACATCGAATAAAAGAAAGAAAGACAAAAATAATTTATGAACAAAATGCTTAAACTTCGTTCAGATTAAAAAACTTTATTTTTATCAGAATCTATTATTTATGGTTCTTTGAAGTTTCGATATTCCACATTATAGCAGAATCGAATTTTATCAAATTCTTCTTTTTGGCACTCGTTGCATGCAATAAATTATTAATTAGCATATTGTATTACATAACATAATAATATTAACTATTCATTAAACAATAAATAATCTTTATATTGGTAAAAAAGAATCCATTGATGATTTATTCTCTGGATACTTTCGTAAACTACATCAGCGAGAATATTCTTAAACGAAAATAATCGAAAATGATCGCAAGAATTGATCAGAATGAATTTTGATCGCTACGAAATGCAAAACTATAAACTAGAGAGAGAAGTAACAGTGTCTAGAATTTTCTTTGTAAAGGCAATTCGCGAAGAAAAGAAGAAGGAAAAAAAAAAAAAGATAAAGCAAGCTTACATTGTAGCCAAGGCTCATTTTCTCTTGCCAAAACCATTATCTCAGCTACAATTTCACTTCCGTTTGAAATTTCCGGTAAGTTGCCGTTGTTTTTTCTTTTTAGAAAATTAGCTTACGGTCGGACGAGCTTTCACTAATGAAACTAGAGGTGGATGAAAGTTTGCGCGAGAACTCACCGCTTTTTTGACAAACGAGACAAATCCATATCCCTTGGATTTGAGCGTCTGTGGATCTCTCACAACTCTGCAATCACTGCAACAGAAAACAAGTTCATTTGTTAAATACGAATTTTCGGTAGGAAAGGGAGATAAGCGCGCTTGAAAATTACTTTGCCGGCAAAGTAACCGGCAAATTTTTTTAATCCTCCAACGACGTTCAAAGGTTCGTCTCTATAATCAGCTTTTCATCCCTCGAAATTTTAATTAACCTCTTTTCTTCCCTTCCCGCTTTTCTTTTCTCTCGTTTTTTTCCTCTCTTTTCTATTTTCAACGGCGATATTAACGAAATATGAAAATAACGTTTCAGTATCAGACGTAACATTCAAACATTTAATTCCTGACAATCGTACAACAATATACGGCTGCGTGAAATTGGACGATTCTTCACGGTACTTTGTACGGACAATTTCTCTACAATTGTATCTGCTATGATGAATAAACGAACTTTGGTATTTGGTTTATATAATATTGATGTACGTACGTGAATTAAATAATAATTAAATAATAATTTTTGTACCAGATATTGTCTTATTGATATTCTGTTTCGAGATATATATATATTGTATGTATTATACATTATATATATATTTCAATACATCATATTTTTTAAATATTTATTAAATATAATTCCATTTTATAAAATTATACTTTATTTCCATTTGCTTCGAATTTTTTTTTTTTATTCTACTAAAAAAGATTTTCGATCGAAGATAGCAATTCTCAGGGGATTAAAAATTGAACACATAAGTGGTACTCCATATTTAAGTCACAATTCTATCGTTTGAAATTCACACATCTTTTCCTTTGGTTCTCGTTACTTTTTATTCCAACAGCCTCCGTATGAAAAATTACTTTTATTCTCGTGTACACTTTTTAAACAAACTTTTACAGAATACATGAATATCCTCACATTAATAACACGAAGCGTGCCTGAATCTATAATACAAATATAACATATCCAAGTGGACAAACAAAATGTTATATTAAAAGTATTACATTATTATTATACACGATTGCAAATAAATATCTCTGTATCGTTTCAATCGAGTCATTAATGCCAGGTAGTACAAAAATCATCCATTATACTGTAAACAAAACCTTAATTGCAAATATGAGAATTTATATTTTGAATATATGAAATCGATATTTGATTACTAAATATGAATCTTTTTTCTAAAGTCATTCGTCAGACACGAGTCTTTTTTTTTTTCATCGAACACACCTAATTGAACGCGACAGAATAGTGTCAAAAGGTTCAAGTAGAAAAACGAGAAACTAGGCAAACCTGTAACCGAGAATTTTATTCTCAGCCGTTGCTCGTTCGAAAAAATATTTTATTTTAAGGGGCTATTCTAGTGTGAAGTGCGTGTTTTTTTTTTAACTTTGTTAGGGAATTTTTTGCAAAGAAACTATTATACCTTTTGCAGTCAAGTTGACAAGGTTTATTTGTACGTGTTTCAACGACGTTTTAAAACTTTTTGGGACGAAAAAAGTTAAAATTAGTGGCACTGCATGCTCTCAAACATAGCCACTTTTAAAAAAGGTCGTCTCACGGTGTACATTCTGCTTGTCGGAATTAAAAAAACGTGAATGTTCCTTAATTTGGCTATAGCAGGTACCAAAACAAAAGAAAAAAGTCGGTAATTAAAAAAGTGGCGATACTTTGAAGATCGGTTATCGATTTTTGCGTGTTTCTGTTAAACTTCGGACTGCCTAAAGAAATGAAAGAAATGAAATTTTTTGGTTGATTCTGGTAGGGGCTATAGTCACACATGTACTAAATGCGTACTTAAAATTTCGAGCCAATTGGTAGATTTCAAGATATCATAGACACCGTTCTGAAAAACATAGTTTCCAGAAAAATGCCTTTAAAATTTAATACCGCGGTTGTTGATGACGCTGGTTGTCGCGTCCATCAAACAATCATAACTTCATTAATTTTAGGAATTCACATGTAAGGTCACAAAGATTTATTTTTGAAACTATGTCCTTTAAGAATATGCAAAAAGTAAAAAAAAATCGATTTTTTCAAAAGTTCACACTAGAATACCCCCTTAAGTGGAGTGAAGAATGAACGGGGGACCAAGGGGGGTGGAGGAGAGTTAACCGGCGCCCGAGTATTCCTAATTTTGTCCGATAGGCATCGCCGGAATCTTAATTATGAAGAAGAATTTGAGGGCGTCCGGCAACCGGGCTTCAGCTCGCTTGACAATATTGTTGGCAGTTTTCGTGAGGCGGAGGGAGGGCACGAAACGCTTCGAAATTCGCCGGCACGTGGAATAAATTGAACTCGGCCGTTTATTAAATCGTGATAACCGATCGAGCAGATTTCGGCTCGATTTCGTGAAATTCGGTGGAAAAAAAGAAACGACCATTTACGTCTCGTTAACAAGCGAGGTAGGGGGGGGGGGAGGAGAGAGGGGGTTGGTGCAATTAGAGAGGCGTCTCGTTAAGTTTGAAAAAGAACCGCTTCTGCTAATCTGTTGCTTTCGTGTTGCGTTGGCATCGACGAAATGAGGTAAATGGAATTATTACCGAATGTCACGAAACACCTATCCCGACCGTAAAGGGCCATCGAACTTTGGGCAATTTGTTGAATAAAAAATTGTTGCCATAGGTTGTCTTATCGGAGTTCGTGTACTGTGGATTTTTCGTGTGCTTTCAAATTTTTTCGTGAACATAATTTAGGAAATGGAAATTTGTTCCATCCACTGAATATTATAATAAACAATCTACTTTGCATATTTTATGTATTTCTGCACGCACTTTGTGAGTCATCTTTGAACCTTCAAGTTTACTACGAACGCAGTTCAGTTATTATAGATGAAAGATCTCGAAATTTTCTTTAACCATGATTCAAAATAACATTTTTGTATATATATATATATACCAGCATAATATGATTACAAAAAGTATTTGCATTCAATTTTGAAGTAATTTTTAATTTTATTAGATTTTAAATTTTATTTTAATGATATAAGATTCTTAGTATTTCAATAATATAAAATAAATAATAATATTTAATAATAATATAACACAAATAATACAAGATTCTTAGTTAAGTATAAAATTCTTAGCTGAAAATTCTATTTCAGTAATAAAAATTCATAGTTACGCGAAAGTAACGTTAAACGACACGAATTTGTTATATTATAGAATCAAATTAAGGGAATATTTATCAAATGCAACTTGCGTGCACAATAAATTTACTTCTTCGTTCCAACAGTCCTCCCTTATATTGTATAATATTATATTTGAAGCAATCGCACGAAATTTTGAATTATCATCCCTCCGTGAATCCACCGAGCCACGAAAGACGCGCTCGTTTCTTTATTACGTAAAAACGAGGGCGATTAAGGGCTAGTTAAATACTGACTCCGACGTGGAAGGCAATTTAAGAGAGTATAAGTATTTAGCGGCGGAAAGAGAGAAAGTAAATGCATAACTCTCTGCTGAAAGGCCGCGTTTACAGTTGACCGCAACTTTGTTTAGCTTCTTGCGCAACATACTAGTTTTGAGTAAAATTTACTCGGAACTACTGCTTGTCCGGTCTCTTCGTGCTTGACCTTCTTAACTCGGTTTATTGCATCGTCGAGAACGTCACGTGGAAAATGCAAAATGAAATTGAAGAAAGTTCGTTCCGCCAGCGTTGTATATTTCTAATGCATAAATATAGCAGCAGATATATTCAAGGTGTAATTACAAGTGTCAATGGAATTTTTAGTTACTCTTCTGACGTCGAATTGCGCATTGTATATTTTCTCCCATACTCTCGTACTGAAACAATATAAAGTTTTCTCGAAAATATTCTCCATTTGACAAATTCGGGACCAAAGTAATCGAAAACTGTGAGAAATGAAATTAAAGAACGTGCAATGTCGTATTTGTAATGTAAAATAGAGCAGTATGCTCTATGCAAGAATCCGACGTTCTCGTATTGAATAAAAAAAATTTTCTTCCTATTCAAATTATTCTTGACATATTCAAAACCAGAGTGGCTGTAGAAAAATGTAAAATAGGAAATAAAGGTAAATGGAAGGTTGTATGTATTCATAATATAAAATATGTATAAAAATGTACATATATATATAATATAGTATTAAAATAAAATTTACATATATGTACAATTTTATATATATATATATATATATATATATATATATATATATCCAAGTTGATTATATTCCTTTTCTGTGTTATCTCAACGAATCGATAATATTTCCTCCTCCACCTCCTAAAGTTTCTTTCCCCCACAAAAATATCCTCCGATTGAACTATATTCAAAAACCAGACTAACCGCGCGATAGCTTGCTTCTAACTTACGGAACAAACGTAGATCCGGCGGGATCTCCGAATCGCGCCATTGTTTCCCGCGACTTTTCAGTGGTGAACGCCGGCGAATGTCACGGTACACGAACATGAGTAATAGTCAATATAAGTTAGATGTAGAGCACGCCACTCGCATATGTCGTTGCCCACACTTCAAGTCTCCCACCCTTTCGTTCATTCCGTGCTCGATATACGCGGCATCCACCTCTGTTGCACCCTTTCCAGCTCCTCCTTCTCTCCTCTCCTCACACCTTCCTCCTCCCTCGACGTCTATCACGCCTCACCCCATTTTTAAACACGATCCCTCATCTCGTCAGCCCTCACCTCGTCGTTCTCTCTTTTCGCCGTTTCGAGACGCGGCTAACGAAACAATCGCCACGCCGCGGCCCCCGTGGATTTACGGTGTTTCACCGCTAAAAATCGTAAATTAATGCACGGGTTATTGACGCGATAAATCTCGAGATTTAATTCAAGTTTCGTCCGGAGGGTGGTTGGGTGGTGGAGGGAGGGAGCTGTCAGGGATCCCGCGCCACCCTTCCTCTTTGGCCGCGTGATATAACCGCGACAATGGCGCGGCGCAGCATCGTACAGGCCGGCGCGACAAAACCCACCACCACCGTAGGATGAAGAGCACAGTTTCGGCGATTTATTGCCGAAACGCGGCGCGAATCGCCGCGGTCGAAACACACGATGCCGAGCGATCCACGATGTCAGAATGGGAGACCCGGGGGCCGCATCGGTTTGGCGTGTTCGATGATTCAAACGCCGCGTGCGAGACACCGCGTCCGGTCGTGCACGAAAGCCTGGGGCTTGTCTTTCATCCTATCAATCCCGGCCGAGTCTTTATTCCATCGGACTGTCGCGATCCTCGCTTGCCGCGTGTTTTATTTATTGGCTCGGGCGATCGGTCGAGTTTCAAAGCGGAACGCCGTGAAAACGTGGCCGCGCGACTTTTCCGTTTTCACCTTCCTCAACGGAGATCGTGTGCGTATATATATATATATATATGCCTCTCTCCGGGGAGAGTTTCAGGGAAATTTGATCAGAAAGTGCACGAGTTTGTTCGTTTAGGCGAGATCGTTAGAGAAAAGGAAGGAATGTGTGTGTGTGTGTGTGTGTGTGAATTCTATGCCACATCGTCGAGGAATATTACTATAATTTTTAATTATTGCAACATAAAGCGCGATTTGAATCTTAGATCTTTGATTAATGATTCAGTCTCTTCAATTTAATCATACGACAAAAAGAATAGCTGCTGTTATAAATTATATAATATAATATACGACAGTTAGATGGCTGAACATCAATTGTTCATTGTTGAAATTTTAGAAAGAATGAGATGTATATTTTCTAATCATATTGATAAGGTTTATACAAATTCTACGAAGCATTCATCAGAAATGAAGATGAAACTCGGGAAATGCAGAAAAATAACAGTAGAAAAACGTTCGCCAATCATGATTGTCGAAACGTAATAAAAATATCAACCTTTTAATGGAATTGCGCCATTTAATTACTCGTGCACGGTAGTGTGCGTGGAATAATTAAATGCTGGACTTTTTACGCATTCATGGGATATTTGAAGTTGGAAAAATTTACAGGCTGCATTGTAATGTTTTATCCAAAATAGAGTATTCGTTATAGTATTTGTTAAGTGAAACTATTTTATTTTCAAAAATACGAATTTGCACGAACATTCTTGGTCTAGTAATAGTAATAAATTTTCTGTGAATCTATAAAGCATGAAAAATTGAATATGTAAATAAATGAATAAAAACAATCACATGTATTTAAGTTTATTGGATATTTTAATTTTAAATAGTTAGAATTTTATCTCATATAAATTAATAAATTCATTTAATATAAATTCTGATAAATGTATACCAAATAAACTAGCGCCTATAAAATGTTAGAACCTCTTGTTTTTCTTTAAGTATTATAATTATATTTAACAATTATATTTAACATTACGTACATAGACTTTTTACTTTTGCGCGTCAATTTCAATTTCATTCGAAGCAATTAGTAAGTTCGAATGAAATTAGTCGTATTAGATATCAGTGTGCATATAATTAATTGCATATAGCATCACTATAAGCTGTAATTATGAGAACGGCATAATATTCAGTACAGTAAATTCTACCTATTGGGATTTGTCTCGCCTATCTATCTGTTCTAATCAATGTACACAATAATATACTCTGTGTTTACAATTGATAATTTCGTTTAATGTTCAATATGCTTTCGTTAACTCTAGTATGCTTATTAACGGAATCATCTGTATAATAATATTTTTAAGAAATTTTATTCGACATTTACTTGATATTTATTTACACTACAATTTAATAAATTTAAAAAATTATTGTATATATCATTATGTATATCATCAAATTTAATTTTGAGATATATGATTCTTTTTTCAATAAATTTTTAATATTATTTCATTTTATATTTGAATTTAGTTTATTAGTAATTTTTTATATAATTATGAAATGAGGATATTTAATTCTCCATTTCATTTAATATTTTATACTTAAGTATTTTCTTTACCATTATTATATTTATTGTTTAATTTATTAAGTTCATTTTGTAGATTAAATTTTTATATTTTAGAAATATTAAATATTTTATATATTTATAATTTCAAATTTATTTAAAAATTCCAATATATATATATATATATATATATATATATATATATATATATATAATTCATGGATGATTATTGAAAGCTCATGTTGAAGTTTCTTTCTTTAATTTAATAATTTTACCTTCAGTTGCGAACCAACAGTCATTTCGTGTCATAAAGTTTGGGCTAATCGACCTAAATAGCATGCACATCAAAGAATAATAACGCGGCACGGATCGGTAGAATCCCAGACAGTTTTTGTCCACGTGTTCCCAACCCGTGAAACTTCTACGCGTTAACTGTCGTTCCCTGGATGGTTTTTCATCGCCTGTCAGCGCTACCTGGCAATCTAGGTGCTATAGGAGCAGTTTTTTTCTCGTCGTCGTCGTCGTCGTCGTCGTCGAACGGGAACTGGAACTCATTAATTACCAATAATAAAAAAGAGGACGCGTCAGCGCGAAAGATCTTTGTACCGCGAGATCTTCTTTCCTTATCGTCGTGTAGGTAAAAATCGAAGATCGAGACGGCGCATTGGCGAAGGATATCGCCTTCGAAAGAGGAAAAGCATCCCGCGAAGATATGAATGCTCGTTGCTCGAGCTTCATCAATCTACCTGCTAATCACTCGCGCGGTGTGTCACCTCTGCTTGTTCCGCTCGATCGTTATCGTTTCGATCGTCTTGGCACGTTTCTTCCACGTCCTTCGTGATATTACTTACACGCGTGAGTTGGAATGATTACTCAATTCGTTGAACTCGTTACATACGTTAAAATTTGCCGTGAATCTCGCGTGTTACGCTAGAGACGATACAAATTTACTGTAGAACTCTGTGATTTTCGAGATCTCACTCAACAACAGCCATTTGTCAAGTTTTGTAAATTTACGTACTTTGATTGTAACATATGTACATACGTGCGTGTATGTGTTACATTCATACATTTATTATTATCATTTAATAATAATAATAGATAAATAAAAAAAAATTGAATTAATTTATCTAATTTACCTTGAAATAAATACAAGTGGACGCGCAACAACATTGAAAACAAATGGAGGGTTAGGTTAGTTGAGTAATGGTGGTAATTATGTAGATGATATAGTAATTTGAAGAATTTATTTTAGAATTTATGCTTGAAAGAATAATTCTTTAATCTTGCTGGAATTCTGTAATTTTCTTATCAAGGATGTTTTAGTTAATACAGAATACTAATTCTTATCATTATATGAAATATAGGTAATTTGATAGATTTATTCTTTACAGTAATTATTACAATTTATTCTGTGATTGTGTCGTTGAATACATGTTTATTTGAAGAATAAGAGTAATTCTTATTACTAATAAATAATGAATTATTGTACTGATACATGTATATTAAATGAAAGTTCCAGTATTCAAAATTTCAAGTTCTATAATTTTTTAAAATGGTATGTAGAAGTTTCACATTATCCCTAAACGAACTATACCATCCCTCAATCTTCGTGAAGAAAAATTACGTGGGAAATACAGCGTTAGAAAAAAATTCTACCGTGATTTGTAATAATTTCACGCAGAAACCAAAAAATGTAAAAACACTGTAAAAAGAAACCTTCAAAATTCGTAAAACCAATGACGTAATAATCAACGATCCACGAAGCGAAGAATTCAAGATACCGCAAACTACGAAAACGAAGAAGAAAAAAAAGAAAACAAAAGAAAGAAGAAAGAATCGTTTTCAATCACTTCTGTAAACGTCAACCGGTAACAAATACCGATTGGCCTAAACGCTGTAAACGGAACCGATTAAACCGATTACAGTTCAGAGAATTCGCGGGGAATATCGTAATCCAATAATTCCACTTGGATCGATATCGCCTCGCCTCTAACAATCGGCAATTTCGAAAGAGGGTGGGAAACGAGAACACGAGCGAGAGCGAGAGAAACGGTTCTCGTTGTCTCGTATACCAGCAGCCGTACATCGACGAGGTTCGCGCGAGTATACACGCGACACCGCAAATAATACCGCACTGCTGAACATACCGGGGGCATACTTGGTCGACGAATTCGCGAAACGAAAGAGAAAAAAAAAGAACGAAAAACGTACATTATACAGGTGCGGTCGTAAGTAGTGGCGCAACTACATTGGAGACGATTTCTACGCGTGGAAAAGTAAAAACAACAACAAAAAAAAAAACAGAAAAAATTTTCGCCGTTCTTCTCGCGGAATTTTTTTCGCCTGCAGCCTCGTTTCCCGAGAAAATCGAGTTTGCGAATTCACGAGAGGTGTCGGAGAACAATTTTGTTCAATCTGAAATGTCAAAGTCGGTAGTGCTGGCGCGATTAGAAATACGGAAAGATGAATTTGATAAGTTAAAAGACGCAAGTACATTGGAACTCGCTGATCTTTGACAGATCTTTGTCGATAATACAATAAAAAAAAAAAAATGGATATTCCGCGATATAAAATCTGTGTCACTTTCAGGAATAAAATTTTTTTTCAACCATAAAATTTCCATCGGAGACACAACATTAATAATATAGAGAAGCTTTTTATGGTACGAACTTTATGGAGTATGCTAGCTTTCATTTATATATTTTACGAAGAATTATTGAAATCTTTAAAAATACGATCTTATCGCGTCTTATCACTTTGATTCAGTTCTACTGTCAATCATATCGTTTTCAAAGAACAGAAACATAAACATACGCGCAATCAAATTCATGAATTTCCAAACCTCGATCCCCTCGGAACGCGAAAAAAATTTTTCTCGTTCGCTTTTTCACGTGGAATCACCTCCGTTCCGATTGTACCGCCATTTACCGCCAACCCTCAATCAAGATCAAGACACAGAGAGAAAGAGAGGGGAAAGGAAAAAGAATAGAAAAAAGCTAAAGAAAGACGAGCATAGAAATAGGAAATGGACAGCATAGAAATAGGAAGAGAAGATGGGATAAAGAGAGAAAACAGAAAGAAGGAAAAAGCAAGAGAAGAAGAAGAAGAAGAAGAAGAAGAAGAAGAGAGAGAGAGAGAGCGTTCAATATCTCGGCTAGCCCTTGAAACAAGGCGTCTCGTATCGGTGGACGTCGGAGTTATCGCGCTGTCGGTAGAAACTATTCCGGTATCGGATGAAAACGAAAGGGCGTACAGGCGGGAGGGAGGTGGTTGGGTGGAGAACGGAAGTGGAAGGAGAGGAGTTTGCTTACTTTTCGCTAAGTGCACTCAATGCCGAGCGCGCGAACTAATTGTCGGTGGGATAGGTTGGCTCCGGTCCTGCTGGCTGGCTGGCTGGTTGCCTGGATAGCTGGCTGGATGGCTCGGCGAGGGGATGGAAACGGGCTTTGGGACAAAGTCGTGTGTTCGCCTGCTACGGCAGGGGACTCTCCAAGATTCTCGAGTGGGCTTTGATTTCGAGATCGCGATAAATGAAACTTGGTGATCGTCCGTGGGAGCTCGTTCGCTTTCGAACCGGCCGGTTTCGCATTTCCCCTCCGTCGTCGCTTCTAAACCGCTTATTAAACGTCCCTCCAGTCAGGTGACGAACGAACGCCAGCGTTCCTGTCCTTTTCTCTCTCTCTCTCTCTCTGTCTCTCGTGTTAATTCGATCGAAATCGGAAGCGTGTTGATTTACGGTGCTTATGAAATTTCGGTGGATCGTGATGCGAATAATTTCGATCGGAGGCAGCACGCGTGACTGAAATCGGCTAACACGGATTACTTGAGATTCCTCGACGTGCCGGGCGTGTGCGTCGAGCATTTGGAATTCCGCGGGGTTAAGTTTGAATAATTGCGCGGGAACTGTAAACGGGGAGCGTGACTATATTCTTTCAGACCGAAATGTTCTGATTTTCGGGTGTGTCGGTTGTGTGTGTGAGAGAGAGAGAGAAAGTATTTGCTCCGGAAGAAAATGTTCTCTTAATATTTCTTCTGTGATGGATAATACCTTTAATTCTGATCCGATTATTTTTAATATTTCATTTTATAGTTTGTAGTTATAAAAATTTTAGAGGATAGTTTATTTTAGAAGAGTAATTAATTATAATGTATTAATTATCATACAAGAGCAATAAGTAAAATATTTATTATATAATAAATAATCCTATGAAGTTATACAACATAAATTGTCACGATTATAAGTTTCGTACATAGTGCTCATGTGCTAAAATTTAATTTTTCGAATTTGACTCGATTAAATCATCTCGTCGTTCTAAATTTACCTGTTTTCTACACTCAAGAAGCAAACTCGCAATTAAACTAATGAAACAATCCTGGTCGTGGTTCTATTTGCTTCTAAGGTTCACGTACGTTTAAGAAACGAGGCTACAATTAACAGAAATTAATCCTGTCAGATACGTTCAAATATTTGCCTAATACCACGAAACGCAGTATAATTGTCGTTTCGGCGTAATTTAGCACGATTTACCTACATCGGGCAAGAAATAGGCTTCTAATTGTAAGTTGTGCGGTGGCGGCACAATTACACCATTGTAACGTATTACATTACTATATAATTACTGTGGCAACCCTCTACAATGAGAGTCCGTCTTATTTAACTTCCGGGAAACTGTAATTATCCTATTTACTTTAGACGCAAGTACGACACCGTGGCTTTGCACGGAATAACTTCACCCTTTACACCCTTTCTTAAATTCGACTTCGCCGGGCAATTTCAAATGGGCTCCTGATTGCGAGGCTACGATAAACGGAACCTGATTGTTCGGGGATTGTTTGATTTTAGGCCAACTCGTTGGCAACCAACGGCATTTCGTGCGTTTAATTTCACTTTTGTTCTAGAGCAAATCGCTCGTATTGTTTAAGAGTATATATATATATATGCGTTCGTACATTCACAGATTTATATAATTCGTCGTAATTTTAACTGGTTTGTTAAATTTATTCTGCAAACAGATTACTTCTCAGTAATTTCTATCTAGGTGACGCCATATCGACGAGTTCAAGAAGAAAGAATTGTATACGGTTTGGTCGTTCGTTATGGTCCGCAATCAGTTGCCGGCGCAAGTGGTTAACAATTACTTATACAACGAGAAAAATATTCTTCCCTCCAAATTTATACAATTAACGAAACACAATACATACATATCGCGACACAAGAAGCGCGTCGAACGAGTTCGTGCAATCTCAAACTTCACAAACAACGCATTCCACAGAAATTCCAAACGTCGCATATGGGCAAACGTCAATCGACGTTCGACGTCTCGAATCGATTAAAACTGCAACACCCCTTCTAGCTCCTAGTGTCTCCACCCTTTCGGAGAGAATATAATTCAACCACCGGGTTGCTATTCCGAACGAATAAAAACGGCGGCGGGGAGGGATAACGTCTGCGCGCATAATGAAATTAACGGTGGGAAACAATCAAACGATACTCGACTTCGCGGTCAATAAACGTGACGCGGTCGCATTGTAGAGAAACGGCGGCATCATCGCCGCCCATTGTGCAAACCCTTTTTGCCCACCCCCACTGTCCACCACCTCTATAACCAAAGGGTTAACCGGGTCTGGTCGCGAGCGAGATTATTACCTAGATAACTGGGAAATTAACTGCAAAATGGGCATGTTTTACTCGGCGGGGCCAGGCACCGGGTTATGGTAATTTTAATAACATATTTATTGCTCCCTGACTGTCCGCGGTGGCGCGGTACAAAAGGCAACACGCCTCGGCGGATCGGCGGAGGCAGTGGGGCGCCACCGATAACGCGCTGCTGATTACGCGCCCCGGCCCCGCTGCTATTTTGTGAACTTCGCCGGCGCCGAATTCATTCGGGCGGTAAGCCAAGTATCGGGAATTTATGGGCTTTCTCTGCGCCGGTGCGTGATATGCGTGTAATGTTTACGATATGAAGCGATTTGCATTGTCGTTGCCGGGGGTACAGCCGGGGCTTAATGGTGAATTACCGCCCCGGTTGTTCGATAGGGGGCCGAGAAAATCTCTGGATGTCCCAGACTTTCTCTCTTTTTTTTTTCTTTTTGATTTTCTTCGACTTTTCCTTCTTTGTTTCTTTTTTTTTTTTCTCTCTTTGAGAGGGAGTAGTATTTTTAATTTAATTCGGAACTTTGGTTCAATTCGCTTTCTGTTGAATTGGGAATAGAGTGGTATATATAGTTTTGGCGATAATTCGGATCGTTGTTTGGGAGTTAACCATCCGTGGGGTTAATCGAAAGGAAATTGAAACATGGGGAATGAGTTCTAGTATATAATACAATGATTTTTCAGAAATTAGTTGTAAGTATTTGTACTTGTTAGATGTTTTAATAACACGAATGCATACCACATGTTGAAAAGAAATAAGAACGATCGTAATAAATAAAAATTGCTATATCATGTTTTCATAAAAATATAGACTAATAACTATTAAACATACATATACACTTGTATAAAGGATTAAATATATTAAACATGAAATATTTGTATGTGTAAACTGATGTGTTAAAATGCAGCAAAACATTCTTTATTCGAGCCACTATGTTTGGAATATCTTATTTAAATAAATCGTCTATTGGCAACTGAAAAATCTCTCACAATCAGTAGCAGACATTTAATTGCATCAATATAACAATTGTATGTTGAGATATTCGCAAAATAAAACGAGATACTCTGCTGTATAATAGATAGTTCAATCGTTAATTACCAATTAATTAATTACCAAGGCTAAATGATCAATCCCTAATCTTTCGTACGTTCAATTTTATAAATTACAAACGGTGGATTTTTCTGAGTTTCAATGACTTCTTTCTGACGAAATATTTTAATTAATCAATTAATCACCTACGAACGTTCAAAAAGTTCATATTATTGTGCAACTCGTTGGAAATTATTTCTGTATAGAGTAAAACTACAGTGTTACGCAAACAAATTTTTGTTAATGTCACCACTTGTTCTCGCAAAAATATCGCAAGGAAACTAGGTGTCAATCCACTGCACGTTCTCACATAAAAGTGTATGTAAATAGTCTCGATGACATATTTTTCCATGAAAATCCTTGATCTTCTTTAAACACGGCTAACTGTAGCTACGTTATTAAAAAATTGGCCGAGAAGCGAAGAAAATAAGAGGCAGACGAGAGGTATAAAAGCGTAAAGTGAAAAAAACGAGCGAAAGAAGCTGGCGAGGAGAGCGAGTAATGGAAAGACAGGGGAGAAGAATTTGTTCGAGGAGACAAAAGTCGAGTGGTGTACTCAACGCATACACGGACGCGTACGTGCGCGCACATACACGGGCACGCGCACGGTCATATAGAAATATCCAGTAAAAACATATGGTAATAAAACATTGTGGCATTCGGCGACGGCGGTTCTATGATGTTCTTTCAGTGGATCGAACGAAACTTCCCAACGAATTGTAAATACCGAATGTTTTCTTCGATCTATAGTTTCCTTAACGTTCGATGATCGAGGTAAAAAGTGTACGAAAACACGAAACCGAATAATGCTCGAGCGTGCAATAAATTGTGCGAGGATCAATAAATTCGTTCGCGTTTCTTTGAAGGACCGTTCAAAAATCTCGTATGGGAGAAAGGATTGAAATTGATGTTTCGCGTGTGTAAATTTTTGTCTTTAGTAAAAATTCGTCTCTCCCAGAATATGCAATGTATATCATTTCATGTATATTCGTTTCCCTCCTGTCAATTGTAATTTAGTTTTGTAAAATTTTGCATTCTTTCGACCGTAACTAGTAGCCTTCAATTTCAGTCTTATAAAAGTTGATAATAAGTTTTGTTATTCTTTAAGAATGAAATCAATAACGTAGATCTGACATTTTCTGCAAAATGGTCAAACAATCAAACATTCTGATCGGACTTGCTAGAGAGAGACTTTTATGTGCACTTTATGCACTGTTTTTATGTTCTTTGAATTATTTGACGATTACCAATTTACTACTTTCATTTTACAACAACTGTAAAGTTTCCTTTTTCTTTCGTAGAATAATAATTGCTACAATTGCTCTGATGTTGAATTGCTAACAATTCAGTGCATATTCCCTCGGTACGTAACCTCAAATATCATTTTACAAATGGGAATTGTAATAATTTCTGCTGTATTATGAAAGAAGTTTGCAATCTGATACGTAGCGACAAACAATGCTTTTATTAACCCTCAGTCGTTATCATGGATGAAATTTCACCCCATGTGAATTTCGTATCGATAATATCATCGTGGTGCTGTTTTGGCTAATTCTGTTAATTCTCATAACTTTCATTCTATCTTTCGTTGATTTTTTAAATAAAAAAGTGTTACTTTTTGGGATGGAATTTTATCTATAATTTTTTCTTTTTTCAACAACATTTTTGAACATACGTAACATTCTTCTTGTTTTTTTAATATCATTAAATATCGAAACGAGCAACATTTATCTGTGTTATACAACCAAACGAAGTGCTACAATTACAAAATACTAATTAATTGCTTATTATTAACCTCGAAAATATCAAATTTCTCTCTCATCAAAACTATACCCTTCGAATTGAAGTGATATTATTTCATGAAATTTTGCAAGTGTAATTTAGAAATTGATGATTGTTATACAACAACTTGGAAATTAAAAATTTGAACATAAATTCTACGACGACATTGGAAATTATTCTTTTGCAAATTATGTTTTAGAAATCAATCGAGAATAGAAGAATTAAATATGAATCATTGTGATAAACTAATTAGAAATTCGAAATTATACAGCACATCAGAAATTAGAAATTAATTGGAAATGTAACATATATAACAATATCAATTATTATGTTACAATTTGAAAATTAATTACGAGTTAGAAATTACGTGTACCTTATCAAATATTATTACGTCCAGCTGGTGACTGATGCAAGATTTTACTAATAACGTCACTTCAACCGTAGAAGGGTTGCAATAGCATCTAAAACTTCGTCGAAAGGTAATATTTTCGAGATGGAGAGAAAATTCATTGGAAAATATAATTGCGGCCCCAAAATGGGGATTGCGTACATATGTATGTGAGTGTATACCATTTATATGACATTACAGTGACGTGCTTTTGTCTTTTCCTCTTTTATTTTTTCTTTCGTTTTGTTTTTCGCCCGTGTTTTTGGCGAAAAGCTTTTCCGAGCGAGGGAATGGAGGCCGGGAGGGGAAATTCGGAGTAACGGAGACGAACAAATAGGCAAATTAATTAGAGCAGAATTTCAAAAAGCAACGGCCGCCAACGTGATCTAACCGAAAAATAAACAGCTCGTAATTTTTTTGAGCCGCGCGTTTCGTTACGTTTAAGCTTCCGCTCGTATTTCCGCCGTGTCCTGTGCATTCTTTGCGCGTAATGGAATCCATCCTGTTGTTTACGCGACATTTGTCGTCCAGCGGAATCCTTGACAGCGCGTTATAAGCGAAATTTCATTTGCGGCACGCGTTACGCTGAATTTTCTCCATTTCGTTTCCGTGAATCTTCGACCAAAAGTTGTTTTCGTAAAAACGATAACTGAGTTCTCGGATGTTGGGAAAAAGGGAGTCTAGAAATTCGAATTTCAAGGATACGATATATGACGATAATTACACGTATATACTATGTACTGTTCTAATAAGATTATTTATTTACTTGGGTTCAAATCACTTGAAGTTGTATTTGTACTTCTATTATAGTTTAATCCGAATGTTATTCTTACATGATTATTATTGCATTATTATTTATTTTTTATAGAAATTTTTGGACGATGAAACATTACAATTTGTTATTTATGAAACAATTGTAATAGCTTCAGTGTCTTACTAGTAAATACGTATGTATAGTTTACGTTTAGTTAAATATTCTTTCTAAAATCAAATTAATCCCGATAGTAATGGTACCAAGTTAAACTAATTATGATCTTTTGTTTCTCACTATGAATGTATTCACATACGACTCTCTACAATCATAATTTGACGGATTATGCTTAAGAAATTAATCGAAGAAAGAAATTTTTATCATAAATTATTAAATTAAATTTTTACACGATTTAATTATAGTTCTCTCTTTTACTATCTAATACATTTTTACCTTCAGTGTTTACTTTTCGGTGATGAGTGATTTTTACGAATTTATACTCCGTATTTTCACATAAAAATTAAACACGCGATATTACAATTAAAACGAAGTATAGCCGAATTAAGTAATTTAACTATTGCAGATCATTTACCTTGTACAAGTATGTATATCGATTGAGAATTGATACAATCCAAAAAATTGCAACAACTCGTGCTCGTCAAATCTGTAATAAACAACTTCAATTGCTTTCGTAGACAGACGGTCGTATCGCTGAACTTGTTGCTCCTCGCTTCTAAGTAATCATACAATATTAAACTGACCTAACAGACAGGAAGAAACAAAAGTGGCCCACGCCCCACTGTATTATACACGAGTCTTACGTCGTCGTTGAAAGAGAATTTTGTTTGTATGAAAAAGAGATGAAATCCTTGGAGCAAGGCTTTCCAAGGATATAAAATTAATGAAATGCATCGTCGTTGTTGTGGAAAATCTATCAATTTATAATACAAGTGCCAGGAGATGTGAAATCAACTGCTTCGGTTGATAAACTGTTTAAATCGCAAGCCGGTAATTAATCGAACAGTCGCTAAGAAACGAAAAACAAAAGAGATTGCCGACGAAGTTTCGCTTTGAGCAAACACTGTATCTATAAAATCAAATATTTGACCAATGTGTCGACTTGGAATTATTATTATAGATCGGGGAACAGATGTTTGAGGAAATTCAGAGACTTTACAGCTAGAGTATTACTGTATTCGATAAATATTTCCTGTACATTTTTGCAACTTGCAGTTTTCTGTAAAAAAACAGGAAGAAATTCGCAACTTAATAACATAGCTAAAAATGTTCAATGGTAAAAAAAATCTGTGTACAAAAGAAGAATAATAATCGTACAATTGTCAAATAATTGTATATACGTTAGCGAGGGTGTAACAATTTTTTTCTTCAATTTCAATTAATAATTGCAATTTCATTAATTTTAACAACAATTTTTATTACTTCAAGAATTAAGAAGCTGAAATATTCAAAATAAAGGAAAAAAACTATCGTTGTTCACTGCAATGAATTTTTATTAATTGAAATACCATGTCATTGCCATTATTCTTTCTAACATTATATCTCGAAGAACATTGTATTTTTATATATTTCATTGCGTTTAACGTCTTTAAATATTATTACACTTATAAAATTCATCTCCGTTCGATCAACAGCAACTAGCACGTGTCTCAAAATAACCCAAATTCGTAAATATTCCCAAGGCAAAGTAACTCGAACTTTCACAACGCTTTCGCGTATTTACTACGCTCCAGGAGATATGACAAAAAAAAAAAATGATTCTCAATTATTTCGCCGAGACGCACCGAATCGACAATTCAATTTTTACAAAAAAACCGTGCTGCAGCCGAACAATAATATCTTGACACAGTATCTCGTACCAGCTGCAACCTAATATTTCAAAATCTCGGCAGCACACTTCAATCAGCCGTATCATAACGATCGATCCGATAAGAAGATTTACAACGTGGACTGTAACAACTACGTCCAGAGCCCTCCCCCCCCCCCCGCGGGGGGAGGGGGAGGATTTTATTTTAACAGCGCTTACGCTTTCAGTTTGCGCGTATTTTATCACGCTTTGCAGGAGGCAGAAGGTCCGAAAACTGAGATAGCCGTTGCTGGATATGTGTCATAGCGAGTTAGCGATGGCTTTTACTCGCGCGGCACGTTTTACGAACGTATCGCTATCCAACCGACGTGTGACGTATATATACGTATATGTATATAACGTGTGTAACGACGACAGTATTCTACATGTTGTTTGTCGAATGGCCAGCAGCTCGAACGAGCTGCTATTAACCGGTATAGTACACTTCTCGTTTTGAGGCACGGAAAGAATCTCTATTCTCCGCACACGCGCGCGCGCTCGTCATTTTGCAACGCCAGCGAACCATCGTCGGGACTTGCCCCGTCCTTCGGTCAGTTTCGACCACTCGCCGATTTTCTTCTCGGTAATTGTATCGCTGTTTTACGACTTTCGAACGAGGGTGATAGGGCGTTTGTTGGGTCGCATCAAGATGACACCGGATGTCCCGATAGTTAACTCTTTACGCGCAGGTATTAAGCTGCATGCGACTTCTCTCCTTTGGGAAATTTTTAGATATCCTGGATATCGTTAACTCTTCGTGCCCCCGGTATTCAACTCCCGACGAGTTTAGTAAGTTTTTGGGGTCGTAACTTTTGGCTCGTTGCGAGCGTACAGGAAAATTTTTGTAATAATATTTTAATGCATCGAGTTTCGGTTTCGAGCATTAAAATTCCGGTCGTTAACTCTTTATGCTCGGCGTCAAGCTGCCCGAGACTTCTCTCCTTTTTTGGTAAATAAAATATTCTATTCTCTTTCAACGATTCGCAATTTGTGCATGCATCTTTCGAGCATCGTGAGGGATCATCTTCGCGTTGAACAGGTGTGAACATTTATAAAAATCGGTGCGTTTAAACGCCCGATCAGAATATAAAAGGGTTAAACAGCAGCGTGTAATTTCATCCTCGCATTTTCTGTTTTTCCGTGTACAATTTTTTTTGTTCGTTCACACAGTTTGGGTTTTCGTTCGTTTGCCAACGAACACGCTCGCTCGTGTTATATTCTTTTTTTTTTTTTTTTTATCCCGGCGACGCACATTCGACGAATATGGTTAGCATACATTATTTCCCCTAGATTCTTTTTTGTTCCTTTTTTTTTTTTTTGTATTTCGCCGCGTTTCTATCGTAATTTGCTTTGCGTTTTTGCCCTGCTGCAACAGAGCGCTAGAGGGATATATATACGTACCAACACCACGAGAATTTTTTCGCTCGCAAGCCTGTGCGCACGCTCACGCGTGTGTGCGTGAGCAAAATTACAATTTGCAGAGAACCTAATTACGAAGCTGCGAAACTTTTACGCCGGAATTTCGCCTGCTTAGCACGCTGGGCACGGAACAAGTAACCGGCTGCGATACATTTGTCTTTAACACACTGAGCAAAAAAGATAACGCGAGCAGGCTGTTGTTTCGTTCTGAATGCCCAGTGATCCCGTCGATTTATAAATTTATTACGAATTTTCACCCCCGCTCATAGTTTGTACATTGTCTCGCAAAAAGAGCACTGTATTTGTAAAGTTATTTGATGTCTGTCTCATATTTATATAATAACATTAATTGTCACACTTGCAACAATGCAAATTTAAGGTTAGAGATAATAATTAAAGTTAATTGATCGGGCATTCTCAGTGACAAGAATTTTGAAACTTGCGTATCAGTCGTCGAAGGTAATCGTGAAAGAGTGGGACGAATATTTTTGTGACTCGTTGCGAAGCAAGAAGATCGAGATTTTTTTCTCTGAATCTTTGATCACAGCGTTAATTTATTTGTCAAAGTAAACTGAGAGGAAAGCATCTATTACACAAAAGATACGCAAACGTGTGTCAAAATGTGTATTTAACACTAGAACCACTTGGGCGATTCAGATTTTCAGAACCAAAAAGACATGTTACAAAAGATTTAGAAGATTTTCCTATTCGAAACATTCCACGAAAATGGAGAGATGAGTCTGCAACTATGTCACCAATATTAATGTACAATGAATAAATGAAAAGATAAGCCCAATTTCGTTGTATCATTTGTTAGTTCTAGCAATGGATTGTTCGAATTTCAGATTAACTATCGCGTTAGATCTCTCTGTCTTGTTTCAATTCGTGAACGGTCTCCAAAATAACCAGGTTATTCAAGAATATTCTGTGGTATTCGAGTTTGACGGACATTTGATAAATCAATCGAGAGGTGAAGTATTCTTGTGTGTGAAAATTGCGCTTTAATAATTTCGGTAGCACGGAGAATGGATTTATTCTATTGAAATATGAAG